TGCCTTTTATGTTTGGCATGCATGCTACCTTATATTCCAAGTGAATAGAATGGAGCATCCTTTTAAGTTAGAGAGTTAACGGCCCTAAGAAGTGATAAAATATAGTGACAATCTGGCAGTTGGAGTTGGATAACGAAAATGGTTTGGAAGAGATTATGTTAAGGTGGTCTTTCTGGTTTTTGAGGTTGTCTGTGGTTTACATGTTATTTTTATAAAATATCAGCTTATTCCCAGTCAATTTGGTAAACTTCCAAGTTTTGACTAATATTCTGGGTTGCAAGGTTGAAAGATTTCCCATATCATATCTTAGGTTGCTATGAGTAAAAGTCAAGCAATCTACATTATCGCAGGGGATAGTTGAAAATTATTAAAGGAGGTTAGCTGCATGGAAAAAGCAGTAATTATCCCTGGAAGGGAGACTCGCGCTCATGAACAGTGTGTTGGACGAAAGCTCCTCATACTGTAAGTCGTTATACTCTATACTTCCGTCGTTGCTAAGCAGTTGGACAATTAAGGAGAAATTTCTGATGGCAAGGGAATTCTGAATGGAGTAATAAGGAAGTCTTCGGCACTAAACATGGTATGGCAGATAAGAAGCACTGTAAGAATTTCAGAAACAATTCAAATTTCTGTGGGAGATGGAAGAAAATTTAGAATGTAACAGAATTGAAGTGAATTCCGTTTCGAAAATAGAAATGGAGTGAATAGGAAGTATAAGACAATTTTCGAGATCTTCCACCCCTTATTATGGATCAGGAAGCAACCATTGCTGATGTAGAGCTAGAAACAGGTGAAAATGAACTTCAGAGTAAAAATTATCTTAATGGGAGATGGACAAAGCTGGTCAACTCCTAGGGAGAATTAAAATTTGAAGGACTTGGACAGTGGACCTGATTCCTTAAGTGGAAATCAAATTAAAATAGTGTCATCTTTGTTAAATCCTGTTAGAACACTTTAAGCAAAGTAGAAGACATGAAAAAGAATTGCCATGGACGAAATATTGTAGGAAAGAGGAAAGAGTAGCAGGAATTGGGTAGAATTCTGTTCATGCAAACTGCACGAAGTGATCTTTATTCTCCTCTTTTCTTTGCAGGGGAGGGAGGGAGGAGGTGGAGTGGTTGAGGGTTGTAAAGAAAGAGAGCTTCCTTTTATTCATAAAGTGGTGCCATAAGTACTGTTGAGTAGGAAGCCTTCTGAAAAAAAGGGGGATACTGTTGTGTAGGAAAACTTCGAACTTTACCTAAATGACCTCTTCATGGTCGAGTACAGGGTTCTAATCAATAGGGGGATGAGCACGTATGCTAATGGCAATTGATGGCTGCTAAATGAAAAGCTGAAATTTTACATTGAAGTTTAAATATAGTAAGTAGCCCTTTAAAGATATTCGATACATTCAATTAATGCTGTAACTTTAATTGTAGCCACCAGATGTTCCTGGGATTGGTGAACTGGCCCTTGGTCCCCTTCTACTTGGGGCGTCGAGCACATTGCTGAATGCTGACCACTATGGTGTCTACTTCAAAGGCATGCCAGTTTGGAATGGAAAGGTAGCTAGTTATTATTTCTAATTCTATGGTACTTTAATCTTTCTTACATGTTTGCTTAATGAGTTACTCATCACCTAGCAGGTTCTGAGAAGACATGGAGATGTATTTGAGCGTACTTCTAGAGGTTATTATCGTGCACATGGCCGTGCAGACGACACCATGAATCTGGGGGGTGTAAAGGTCTACCCCTTACCTTGTTTTGTTACTCACAGATCATGAATTAGGGTCTCTTTGGTTTAAGACTCCATTTGATAAAAATTATTACCTGAGACTGCTCATCTTTTATCAAATTTTCAGTTGAACCAATCCTGCTTATCATAACTGATATATGCTTCATTTGTAGAAGAATAATATTCCTCATTCTCAAACAAAACAAAATCTATTTTGATATATATTTAATCAATTCAGATTCTCATAATAAGTGGTCCTTGGCCCATTACATCTACATCCTTGTTATACCTGTGTATATTTATGAATAAATGCATGTTTTCTCTTCTAGCTTATCATCTGTATTAGTTGCAGACAAATTTGTGTTGTTTTCTCTTTTACTCATAACAGGTAACTGAAACTTGTGATTCCTTTAGCCAGGTAAGTTCAGTCGAGATTGAAAAAGTTTGTAATGCAGTTGATGAAGGTATCCTTGAGACAGCAGCTATTGGGGTGCCACCTCCTGGAGGTGGCCCAGATAAGTTAGTTATAGCCGTTGTATTTAAGGATTCTGAAGGGTCAAAGCACAGCTTGAATTCATTGAAGGTTTCTTTCAATTCAGCTTTGCAAAAGAAATTGAATCCACTATTCAAGGTATGCATTAATATTCAGCTTTGGGAATACCAAGTGTTGAAAGTTTTGTCTCCTTATCAGGCCTAAATATTGCAGGTTTCACATATAGTAGCCCTCCCTTTCCTTCCAAGAACAGCAACAAATAAAGTCATGAGAAGAGTTTTGAGACAACAGTTCTCGCAAATTGGCTCTAAACTGTGATCTATGCAGCTATGTAGGCCCTTGATTTGACTTGTAATTATGTTAGTTTGATTGGAACTACTATTATGAGAATAATGATGTATTTAAACAATTATTCAATAATGGTGGATTATTCCATCTGATTTAATATTTGTTTGTGGCTATATCTAGTTCTTTAAGCATAATTCAGCTTTTCACTATTGTACTTATAGTTAGGGGTGGGTATCGGTTGGTTCGGTTCGGTTTTGTAGAATTTTGGTTCGGTTAATTCAGTTTTCGGTTTGTGATTTTAATAACCAAAATCGAACCATAATAACTTCGGTTCAGTTCGGTTCGGTTCGGTTCGGCTCGGTTCGGTTTAATCGGTTCGGATTTCGGTTCAAATTCATTTAATTCCCTTTATGATAATCCTTGACTGAGCTAAGACAAAACAGAAGCAGTAACAGTGGCAGTGACAATACTATAGGAGAAGCATTGGGAGTTCATTTGCTCCAGAACCAACTCATTATCTCTTAATCTTTCATTAAGAGAACCATTCCAATAAGCTCTCGTGGTCATCAATTGTGTTGGAACACATAGCAAATATATTTTTGCTTTGGTACATCCTGGATGATGAAATTCGAACGTTCAACAATGCAGATAAAAAACTGTTTGATTTTGTCTATTTCCTATACACGTACACATATTGCTACAAAGAATATCCAACATGTACTATTAACTAATAAACTATATTAGTGATGATGGAAATAACAATCTTATAATGTGATTTTGTTCAAGGCTAATGTACAAATACATTGACTATTTTAACACTTGGTTTCTTTATCGGTTCTTCGGTTCTTCGGTTTTTCGATTTAACCGAAAATCGAACCATTAAAACCGACCACCTAATCGAACACCGAAATTTTTAAAATAACAAACCGCAAACCGACCGAATAAACCGAAAAACCGAAAACGAATAAACTGAAATTTTCGGTTCAGCCGATTTTTTCGGTTCAGTCGATATTATGCCCATCCATACTTATAGTTAGCTTTTAGAGTCAACGGTTTATTTGACTATCTTTTCATTCGACTAAATTCACAAATAGCCGAAATTTTCTGACATTGAACCTAAAATTAATGTTTCAATTAGATAATGCAAAAATTTGGGTAAAACTTGACTTTTAAACAAAACATTAATGTTTAAGTTGTGATAGTGGAAGAAATTAGCAAAATTTGACTTAGCAATTAATTTTTAGTTTTCTCAACCATTGTTCCTCTACTTACTCTCTCCCCTGCATTTTAGTTGTCATGTTTCTATTTTACATGTCCTTAAGAAACTAATCCTTCTAGTTCACTTTAATTAATTTTTTAGGTTTTTTAGATATCAAGAAAAAATTAATTTCTTTTTTTCAAAGTTGTCCTTGGAGTAAAAGATAAGAGTGTTTGTTATATTTTTAATGAATAAATTAAGCTTAATATGATTAATTTTACAGTTAATTAATGCTAAGAGGTCGATTTCTTAATACTTTTATGTGCGAAAATAATCAAAAATTAATTAAAGTGGACCGGAGGAAGTATTAATAAGAAAGATTTTTTTTACTACTATATCCTCATTTACTCTTCATATTTAAGGTTTTTGCACTATATAATCAATGTCTTTTACTTTCAAGAACAACTAATACTAAAAAAATAAAAAAAAAAATAATTATATTCTTATTTTAAAAAAATGATAAGTATTTTAGATCAATTATTTTTAGTAATTACGATAATTAAAATGGACGGGAAAGTAGGGCTGTTCAAAACCGAATCAAAACCGTTAACCGATCCGAACCAATGACTTATTGGCTTATTGGTATTGGATTATCGGGGTAATGGACAGTGAACAAATTGATATTTTATAATTAACGGCTTAACGGTTTGGGGACGAATTACTTAATTTTCTTAACGAATAAACCGTTAACCCGTTAAGAATTTTTATATTTACACTTTCCTATGGATCTTGAAGTAGCAAGAACTCCTAAGATTCGATGCCCATTCTAATTTATAACTTTCCCACCCAAATTTTCAATTCTATCCAGCTCCAGCTTATCAGGTTTGTTAGGATGCGTACAAGAAGTTAGTCAACAAAATCACCCATAAAAAAGAATCCATTTCAATATTATACCAAAAATAATTTATTTGGTTTAGCCGATAAACCGCCCGATAATCGTTATTCCAATATCAATTCGCCCATTGTCTTATTGGATGGCTAACGAATTACTACATTTATAATCTGATAACCGATAAGCCAAACCGTTAAGCGTAGTTATCCGTCTGATCCGCCCGATAAGCACCCAGCCGGAAAGGGGTATTTTTCATTCTACGATGATCCTCGGATGAAAGGAGCTACTATTGAACATAATATAATAGGGATAGGGAGCACATTGAAATTAAGCTGTAATTTGAGGATAAAAGTGGAATTAAATTATTTTTAACCCGGGGGTGCACAATGCGCACCTAGCACAATCTAGAGACCACTAGCTCATTGTTTTTTCACCATATACATAATCGAAAAGCTTAGCAAGAAGTTCCTCCTTTGCAAGCTTTCAAGTTCCACCTAACCGGAGACGGAGTGAACCACCTCCCGCCGGCACGGCCTCTATGGAAAAGTTTTCTCCACAATAAGCTCGATTTTTCATTCAGAAATCAGTTCAAAATCTAGGGTTCTTATTGGAGGGAACAAATTTCATGGCGACAACTCTCATCTCGAAACCTACCCTTTCCTCTGCTTTCCTCGGCCAACAACTGTAAGCATCTCTGCATAGAGAATAAGTCGTATATTGAACATTTGGGATCTATTAATTTGTTGGTGGAGTTTAAAAGTTCCTAACGTTTTTATTAATTTTTGTGCAGTTCGAGTAGAGGAAATTCAAAGAGGTCGGCACCCTCTGGTTTGTTTCTCAGGGGCCCAAGATGTGCGGCGACGGATACTCCTTATGGAGGTGAGTTTTTTAATACTAACACCCATCAAATTAAAACGTCTATGAGAAGGGAATTGTCAAGTAGATAGAATAGACAACAGTAATTGATGAATTTTAGTAGGTTTAGATAGACAAATCAATGGCCGGTTTGGATTTCTGGGTTAGTGTTGAAGTTTGTGTTACAATGTTATACGGGCTTGAATCTTGGTGCTTAAGGAGCTGAGTTGAAACTAAGTATTTAGTAGGGGAACTTTATACTCAAAAGTATTCAGAGAATTGAAAGTCTGTAAATTTCTCTACTGAAAACTCCATTGAAAATGATAAGGGATTAAAACAAGAATTCTGGGGCACATATATCTTTCTGAAGCCTTAATCTTTCCCTCCAAGCCAAATTAATGAAAAGGGCTGTTGATTTTTTCACTTAGATAAAAGTTCTTTGTGTTTCCAAGGAGCTGTAAGAAGAGGGAAAAAAGGGTAGTTAAATTAACCTTTTCTTTTGGTATTGGATATGATACATATGTATATTGGATCTCAGGTTCTTTTCGAAATGTTTGTTTAAAATGCTAGCATTAAACTTCTATGCTGATGTTCACGATTCGATTTTGGAAGGTAATATTCCGCAATTTCCTCGAGTGAATGTTTGGGATCCGTACAAACGTCTTGGAATAAGTCGCGATGCTTCTGAGGAAGAAGTTTGGAGCTCACGCAACTTTTTGTTAAACCAGTATTATAATCACGAGAGAAGTGCAGAATCAATTGAAGCTGCCTTTGAGAAGATATTAATGGCAAGCTTCATAAATAGAAAGAAGACAAAGATTAACTTGAAAACAAGGCTAAAAAAGAAAGTCGAGGAATCTCCCCCTTGGGTTCAGAACCTCCTCAGTTTTGTGGAACTTCCACCGCCTGTAATTATTTTGAGGAGATTATTCCTCTTTGGATTCATGGCGTGCTGGAGTGTGATGAACTCTGCTGAAGCTGGACCTGCATTCCAGGTTTGTTCATGTCCATTTTGATCCATGAGATGTCTTCAAAGCTAAGGCTCTTACTGGCACACTATGCTTTCTCGCTGTGAATAAATATTTTCAATGAGTGCAAATTGATTCAGAGATAAATTTCATAGGCGAAAAGATCTATACAAGTGTTTTTATTTTCCATTTTGGTTATTAGAGCTAAATTTACAGCCTACAGAGATTGCTGCTTAAAGGTTTTTATTAAAGTCACTACTTTTTAATGCATTAATTTGGCTCTTAGCGTCAGGTCGTTGATAGTGTTTCTCTACTGCGATTATGGACTGTACTTGCATTCCACATTTGCCAACCCCTCCTATGTGCCAAACCAAAAAATAGATAAATATAGAAAACAAGAGAGATACGAAAACTCTACTGATATCAAAGAAAAGGAAAGATACGGATACCCAACACAGCATGTAAAGAGAATGAAAATGTCAATGTTCTCCTGATGATAAAGAATTATATCTGATAGTCTGCAAAAAGGCAAAGAACTTGTTTCTTATTCATCTGAATTGTTCCCCTTTTTTCATAACCGTGGTGTCTGGGCTGGTTTGCGTGCACCTTGACTAATTTCACGGGGTACCTGCTATCTCCCACCAGCGCAGCTGCGCAGGTACCGGGTAACTCCGTCCAAGCCTCGACAGGTGTGAACAGTTAGTGATTTACCTCTGCTGGGATTTTTATCTGAATTGTTCCGTGCTACCTGGGGATATCATTACAATAAGATATCCTTGCCGAACATCTTCATTTGCCCTGTTTTCGACGGTGGAAAGGTGGAGGGGGCTTGTTTAGGTAAATAACAAGTGGCCACTTTATATTGTTGTTTGATCCCCACATTTCTAAGTGTATGGACTATAGTCTATGATGATCCTCACTGCTGGAGCTAGGTTCTGCTGGTGGATATGCCAAAGATGTTCTGGCTCTGAACCGGGTACTTGAAATGCTAAAGGTACTTCTTATGGTCCTGCTTCAACCACCCTTCCTTCTCTACCTTTTTCTTCAAAAACTTAAGCTACTTAGACTGATGCTGGCAATCTCGAAGGGAGATATCTGGACCTGGAGCAACTCGTCTTGATCTTTATTATATTAGGATGCGAGGAAAGGGAAAGAAGGTGATAAGCAAGAAGAGGAAAGAAGAATGTTAAAGAAGTCCCTATAAGTATTTCACTTAGCCTTTCTATAGTCTTTCTTCCCCTCTTCCCTCAAAGCGTGCTCTTTCATCCATGCGCATGGTTCTTACTTTCATTTCCCCCCTCCTCACGTAGGAGCGCATCTTGTTTTCAAAGATGAGNGTCTAAGGTCCATTTTCTTTACATGGTATTATAGTTAGGGATTTGAAGCACCCATATTATATTCCTCCGCGCTCCAGACATCCCACCTTGAGCATGAGGGGCAGAGGGGGTGTTAAACTCCCTCATAAGTAATGTAAATGAGTTGTAGTCTTTTCATATGGTCTTGGAGAAACCTCAGTACATGAGCTAGCTTTTTGGATTGAGTTAGGCCCAAGGTACATTTTCTTGATTCCAAGCTGAATCATAGGAAACAACCTTGTACTCTCACATATCTTTTTATAATCCTCTTTCATCTCTCTGGCTTTTACATATAAGAAGGGTCATCAACTATGAGCCCCATATACATCTCCAGGGAAATGGAAAAAACGGAATAAAAGAGCTGTAAAAAGCCAAGCAGTTCATTGGGCAAAGAAGTATTAAGTAAAAAAGACCTCTTTTCATCCGTCTACAGAATATTTGGCTTTATCAAAATCCCCCTTACTACCTATACAAAATCACATAAGAGGCCACTAGGTTTTGCAGTTTTACTCCTTAACAGTATAAAATCCAAAGGCGATGTAAATTAATCTCCTGTATTTTAGTTGAAAAATGCAGACAGTTCTAGAGCTTGACCTATTTGATAATACAAAGTTTATATTGGGCGGCTATTGGTGGAATAGTGGTTTGGTGATTTCAGTCTGGATCACTCCTCTGAAATAATTGGCTCTTACAAGCTTTTCAAAATTTTATATGAATGTGTTCCAATTTTAATTACAATTTGTTCTTTCTTTTATGCAGGTAGCTATATCTTTTGGAGCTTGTGTGTACTTCCTTAATGACAAGACAAAGAGCGTAGGAAGAGCTGCTCTTATAGGGTAAGTTTATTGGTTATCTCTGTTTTCATGAACAAAAAAGTTACTGGTTTCTAAAGTCCAAACATTTTCGGATATTTCACTTTCATTATTGACTTCTCACTATCACTAAGTGAACCTTTTTACATTTCAGGTTTGGAGCCCTAGTGGCTGGTTGGTTTTGTGGTTCACTGTTGGTTCCCATGATCCCTCCAAATCTGTTGCAACCAACTTGGAGTCTTGAACTCTTAACATCTCTCTTTATTTATGTCTCCTTGTTTCTGGGCTGTACTTTTCTCAAATGAAGCTCTACAGAACCCGTTTTGATGTAGCAGTTTTTACATGTCGCATCCTGATTAATTCATGGTGTTCCTTCAGTGTTTTGTACCTTCAAGATCATTATATTGCGATAGGAAATTGTTATCGAGCTACTAGGAGTTTAGATCGAATTCGTGTCCTCCCTTTATTGCTTGAATTTTCCAATGATGTTGTAAGTGATACACATCTGGCTTTTCTCGTTTTCCTTTCACCAAATTAAAGTAAAAATTAAGCGAGAGAAAACATTCCTTTTGCTATACCTGCTCATCCTATTGGTTCCTTCATCTTCTGTTCTGGCATTTCTCTTATCTGCAAGGTCTATTTAATTGCAATATCAGAGGGAAGGATTTGAGGGGATTTCAAGGCTCAAATCAAATCACATTTGTCGTAGCATGTGCAGAGAGATGAAGCAAACTTGCGTCATGGTTCACTTGAGACATTTTGCCTTCTCATTTAACAGAGATGATGAACTATTTTGAGTGGTTGACAGTGATTACAGTACATTTAGAGAAGATGGGTATGTATTATAGTACTTCAATAGTGTATATAGTGATGTGCGTCTCCTGGCAGTGGCTTGTGGCTAAAGAGTAAGGTCGCGGAGCACTTGATTATGATAGGACGAGTTAACAGATAGTTTGATGTCAGGAATAACTCGACTATATAAAGTTCTAGGGCAAAACTTTGTCCTACTCCTTGTTCAGATTCTTTTTTCTTGTCGATTTTTACCTATTAAGTTTTAGTAATTTGAATCAGAAAAAATTGTGTACCTTAGGTCTCTGATAGATTTTGGCAAGCTTCTTGTCGGTGGGACGTCCAATTCTAGCAGTAGGATAGCTTCTCTTGCTAGTCCATATTAGTGAAAAAGACTTGAGCACAACAGATAAAGACTCAAGAATGTGTATGTCATAAAATTAATAATGCAATACAATAAATGAGAATAAACAGACAAACAGCTAAACATAATATGAGAAGTGAAGTCGGTAATAAACAATAAGTACAACATCAATGTCTTATACCGTTCAAACCAAGTTTTCAGTCAAACAAATAATCTTTAGGAAACTGGAAATGTAACAAACCAATATGGCTCATGGCTCATGGGTATGGTTTGTGCCTATGGTATCCCTTTGATTTATTGTTCCTGAGAGCGCAGCAGCCAACGCAATAAACAATGAGGACTAGAAGGAAGAGGCCAAAGTTGATGAGGGACACTTTCTTCCAATCTTTCTTGATGTTGTCAAGGAATGCTATCTTACATGATTGGCAGTTGAAGCAGAGCTCTGTTTGTACATTGCTCCATATTTTGCAGTCATTATCTGGTACGGCCGGCCCTGCTATGGGCAAGGTCCAGTAGGTTGCATTGTGGAACTCTAAGCCGCAGTAAGTGGGTGGCTTACAGCAACTCGACTACATGCGCAAAAAAAAAACAGAGATTTAAGCTATATTCAATAGTATACTGTCCGAACTTAAATTCTTAAAACAATTATAGCATATTCATTAGGTAATGTCTCTCTTAACTATGATCTCATCAATGAGCAGAGCTCCTTGATGTTGAACTAAAAATGATTTGAGAGTTGGAACGGCTACGACTTATATAAACATAAAACTCAAATGTGACAACTAAACCGAGGGGGATCAATCCTAAATGCTGTCACCCTTTTTCTCAAAACAATACATTTCAAGCCAATTTCTTTTCAAAATTTAAGAGTGAATAAAAAAAAAAACTAAAGTGGATATTTCCAGGATTGCTCTGAGTGTAGAACCTATCTCGATAAATGAGTGTATTTTGCATTATTGTCTCTTTTCATTAAACGTTTAATTGGAAATACTAAAAGTGTAGGGGTTTAGTGTGAAATAGTTATCAAAAATGGAAAGATCACAACAATTTCAGATGGAATAGTTGATGCATCTTATGCAACATATTTAATGATCGAAATGAGATTAACAATTTTGCTTCTGTAAAAGAGATGGGGGCGTCTGGACTAGAACACCTTTTTTCGTATTTGGTTTTGAGAGATTTAATTGTGTTGTTTTCAAATTAACAAACTATCTTTTTCAGAAGATAATTTTCTTTTTTACTTCTTAAATATATATTTTTTCCCAAGTTTTTCCAATAGAGTAATTCATATCGAGATTCATTAGCAATTGACTATAACAGTTTACACGTCATATACGACTATTAAAATTTACTGAAAAGTTGGAGGATAAATGAAATGAAATTAATTTGATCACACTTCACATATAAACCCTTTTGATTTTAGTAGTATCTCGTTCTTTTATATTTTTCTCTCCCCCTCTACAAAGCAACTCCTCGTAAATCTAGCTACGTTTATCACTTAGAAGAAAAGTTAAAGATGAATTCATTCAGAAATGAAATTAACCGGAAAAAAGACAAAAAATAAGAACCTGAGTAGCAGAGAGGCTATATTTGTAGAAGTCAGCGCCTTTGCCAGTAGGTAAACGTTGACAGAATTTCGTATCAACCAAACAACTCTTAATCTCCTCCCAATTCTCAGCATTAAACACATACTTCTGCAACCAGTGTGAGTAATCTCCAAACTTGACTTCCATATAACCTCTCCCAGACAAAGCCCTGCTCACGTTTTTATTTGTGACCAAAATAGCGAACACCGAGAAACAAAGCAACCCTACGATGAGCAAAAACAGCAAAAACAAATATATCCACAGGAAAAACGTGACTCGGTAACAAGACCCAACCAATCCCAGCACAGAAACAACCAGTAGAGAAATTCCCAGTATTAACAAAGGCTTCTGAAACACTTTTTGGCAAAGTGTAGCACTGCCGTTAAAATGGAGCCAAATTGAAAACCCTATGGCGACAAGTGAAACCGCTAGGGTCACACAATTAAGGAATGTGATTATCAAGTTGCTTACTCGGACCATCTTCCTTTGTTTTTTTGGATGAATGAAATTACAAAAATTGAAAAAGTAACGGATAGTCTGTATGTATATATATAAAAAGATAATAAAAGATCAGATGCCTAGAATCTGGGAAAGTAAAACCCCAGAATCTTATGAGGGTGAAACTCGTTTTCCTTGTTGAGAAGAATGAGAATAAAATGGTCGGGAAGGAGGCGGAGGAAGTATATATCCGGTGGAAATGTTCCAAAATTGTTTCCATAATAACGCAGTTAACGGTTAATATGCATTAAATTTTTGCAATTTTACCCCTCATGTTAGTAACATATACGGAAATGCCATCTCCAGGACGGTTCCTGAGTCGGGTGTGGGTCGGATTTAGTGGGGTTTCCACCTTATGGAAACTGCCACGTAATATTTCATTGGGGTGTCCCATTATCAAAGACGACGTGGACATCACTAATTGGGAGCCTATTATTAGAAAAGAAAAAAAAAGGATTGTGCTTCATCCAATGGGTTACAACAATCTAAGAGGATTTAGTAGGTTAATTAGAGGTAAAAAATTATTCCATATTTACACTAAATCATACTAATATATTATCATTAAATAATAAGTTAAGATAAAAATATGTATTAATTAATTATATATATAAAGACATATGTCATTTATTTATTGAGTTTATGTAAACACCGATTTTTCTAATTCTTTCTCTAGGTAAGATAGTCGGAACTATACGAAAAATTAAATTCTAACCAGCTTCCATGCCTATCTAACGAGTAACCAATAGATTGCAGTAATGGCCAATAAGATATTAATCTTATTAGACTCCAAGAAGAATAAAAGTTATCTTGTATTACTAGAAAAAAGGTCGTATGTGACATATAAGAATCGTCAATTTTATAGTTTGAAAACCGCCATGCCTGTACATGTCATATAAAGCCAAAAAGGCTTAATTATAGTAAGACTAAATTACGAGGTTATCATACTTAATTTCGTTTTTACTTCACAAATTTCATAATTTATTTGAATAAAGGCTACATACAAATGCATTGTAAACTATACTTTTCATAGTTAAATGTAATCAGAGTATACCTTTTTAAAGTTGTGATCAAATTTAAAAAAAATGTTTAACTCACAAATAGTTATATTGTCACATAATAAACAAAGGGAGCAAGTTGTTATATTTATATCTGTTTCAGTTTATGTAAACTTTGACCAACATTTTAAAATATATCTTTTTATCGTATTGTCATAAGAAGAATTATAACTTACCGCTTGTTTGAATGATTGTTACCCATTGTATATTTGTACTATATCATAATGTTACCTTAAATAAAATATTTATTTTATTTTTTACTTAAGCTTTATTATATCGTATTTAAAATTCATCGTTATGTAATGATAACAAGAGTCATTTTATATAATAATCAATTTACTGTGGTTGCGTCTTTACCTCATTATTTTTGTCATCCTGTCCTTATTATTTAAAAAAAGCTAGTTTGGTGCACTAAGTTTTCGCTATGCGTGGGGTTCGGGGAAGGGTCAGACCACAAGAGTTTATTGTACGTAATCTTACCCTATATTTCTGTAATTACTTATTATTTAATAATCCTTATTTTCCATTTATCCTACATTTTCATAATAAATCTAACTCATACTCTATTTTTTTTCTTTGTAATATTGTATATTTATTCATCATATTGCTGATGCGTGACATTATAAAACGATAATTGACTATACAATCTATCTAAATGTTATATTCATCACAACGATACAGTACAATACAATACAGTGTAATACATTATGTAACAATCATCCAAAATAAGTTGTTATAACACTTTGCGTATAGTTTTTGAATATCTAAATTTTAACTTTAAAATATCAAGTTAATCTAATCAAACTTAGCTTCAGATATTACTCAAATTGACTCTCAAAAGCTAAAAGGTTCACATAAACTAAAAAGGAGGAAGTATTACTCATACAGGGTGAACTTTCTCCACCATGGTGAAGAAGAAAATAAAAAATGTTGCTCTTATGCATGTCATTTAAAAAAATGGCAAAAATTCAAAAGCCCCCAATTAATTTAAATTTAATTGTCACACATGAGAATTATATTTGAGTGCAATTATAAATAATAATATCTTAATTAATTGACTGAATTAATTATAACTCAAAGAGTGCAATCACCCTTCCTAATTCTCAGAGGATAGTCAAGAAATACTGATAACAAAATAACTAGATTCAATTCAAAAGGTTAGTTACAATTTGACAACAAATAGAACGGGCTAGCTAGTTTTAGAATTGGTAATTGAAAAATAGCTTATGTTTGCAAAGTCATTGAAAAATAACTACTATTTTACTGAAACGCGGAAAATTTCAGCATAATATGCTGGATTATGGAGCTCCTACGTATAAATTTCCAGCATATTATGTTGAAACTCCAGTACACTGAAAGTTCCAGCATAATATGTTGGATTATGGAGCCCATACGTATAAACTTCCAGCATATTATGTTGGAACTCCAGCACATTATGAAATTCCAGCACATTATGTTGGAATATCATATGTAAAAAATTCAAACTCCAGCATATTATGCTGAAATTTTTCTAGATTTTATTTGTACATAAAAAGTAGCTAAATTTCGATTACTTGTGGCTATTTTTCAATTATCAGTTGTAAATATGGCTAATTTTGATTTTTTTTTCCGCTAAAGGTTTGATTAGGGGCCCAAAAATTTCCAATAGAAAATCGAGAAATTTTAATAAACCGCTATATTTTAGAGTCTAGTAACTATAATTTGCATAATTACCATTTGTAGCTACTATTCAATAGTTACTAATTTGTATCACTTGTATTCATACGTGCAATGAATATGTGATGACCCGATAGGCCATTTATAGTTTTAACCCTCAATTCTGTATTTCGAAACCTCGAATAGCTCAGTCTAGTATTTCTCAATTTGCGTGCGCAATTCGTATCTTTTTTTAAAATATTTTAATGTGAAAAATTAATAAAAGTGTAAAATTATGCCTTAAAATGCATTTGAATTGACTACGATCAACGTTTTGAGCAAACGAATCCGGACCAGTATTTTGACGGTCCCCGTGGGTCCGTATTATGATTTGGAACTTGAGCGTATGCCCGGAATCGAATTCGAAAGTCCATAACTTGAATTATCGTCATTTGTTGAAAACTAGAAGTTTAAAGGTTCAAAGAAATTTCAAGTTTGACCGTAGTTTGACTTTGTTGCTACCGGGTTCGGATTTTAGTTCCGGAACTTGGTATAAGTTCATTATTGCATTTATGACTTGTCATCAAATATAGTGCAAAACGGAGTTGATTTAACGTGATTCGGACGTCCGGTTGAAAAGTTAAAAGTTCTTAAGTTTCATTAAAAATTTCATTCGTTTTGGTATCCGATTCGTAGCTCTAGGTGTTGTTTTGGTATTTTAATCGCGCGAGCGAGTTCGTATGATATTTTTGGATTTGTGTGCATATTTGGTTTGGAGCCTCGTGGGCTTGGGTGAGTTTCAGGTAGGATTCAGAGTAGTTTTGGACTTAGGAAGATAGCTGATGACCTCGCATTTGCGAACATTCAATTTTCTGTCAGGTTCGCATTTGCGAACAATATCTTTGCATTTGCGAATAGGGACTGGGTCAGCAAACATCGCAATTGCGATCAAGTGGTCGCATTTGCGAAATTTCAGAGTTCGCATTTACGAACAAATCATCCAAATGCGATGGTAGCAGAGATATGGGCTTCTTCGCATTTGCGAATCAATTTTTGCATTTGCAGGATTCGCAATTGCAAACCCCTTGTCGCAATTGTGACATGTGCGCCTGGACAAAAGATGAGAAAAGCGAGATTTTAGTTCATTCTTTCAAATTCTCAATCCTAAACACCTTAGAGGCAATTTTTCCAAGAGCCTTTCTTCCTAAATTCATTGTAAGTGGCTTTAATCTATTCTTTTTCAATTACATGTTACATTTCATAAGATTTCAAAATCAAATCTAGGATATCCAAGGTAGAAATTAGGGATTTGAGTAGGATTAGAGATTTTTTTGTAAAATTGGGATTTAGACCTCGAATTGAGGTCAGATTTCGAATTGAATTGCATAAACGGGCTCGAGGGTGAATGGGTGATTGAATTTTGGTCTGAATCTCGGGTTTTGACCAAGTAAGCCCAGGGTTGACTTTTGTTATCTTTTTTAATAATGACCTAAATTGAACCTCTTTCATTCGTGAGTAGTTTCTAAAGTTTATTTTGAATCGTTTGGTCAATAAATTGCTAGATTTGGTTGGTTTGGTGGCTTGTTCGAAATGCAAGGTCGTGGTTGAACTTTGAATTGATTGCGGAGTGAGGTAAGTGTTAGGTGTAACCTTGATTTGATGGAATTAGGAACCCTTAAGCTATGTGCTATGTGAATTTCATGAGTAGCGGCGTATATACGAGGTGACGAGTGTTTATACGCCGTCAATTACTTATTTCCATGTCTACTCGTATTTCATTAATTATAGCATTACATGTCTTGATTGTTACTTCTCTTAATTGCTTCCTATGCTTTAACTTGCTACTTGTCACTTATTATTCTCGCATTATAAATATTAATTTCTTCCATGCTCCCATGCTTAATTGATACTTGCCTTAATTGTCTTGCTTGTTCCCTTTAACTGTCATATATTTGGCTTGTCTTGTTGCTCATTATTAATTGTAGCCCTTCATGATTTGGTACGAGATTCCCTCTTGATTTGTAGCTTTCGTATTCGTTAATCATAGAGATTCTTGCGATTCGAAGCATTAAATTGATTGCACTTATTGATTTATTTATATTGATATGGTGGGATCGGGTTGCGTGCCGCAACATATGAAATAAGGGTGGATTGATAAGGTGAAATAAGGGAAAATTTATATTGATACAACGGAATTGAGTTGCGTGACGCAACATGTGAAATATGTGTGGATTGATATGGTGAAATAAGGGTAAATTATGATATTAACTCTGATTATATGGTGAGATCGGATTACGTGCCGCAATATATATTTACTTATTATTATTGATATTTATATGGTGGAATAATGGAGAATAGTGTTGTACGTAAAGGTGTCAAACGGGCCGGGCTGGT